GAGAACCCCGAACAACCCAAACTGCTAATCTTCAATACCGCTTTATACTCACGATCTTGTATCCACTGACTATCTTGTTAGATTAACCTAATAAATTTCATTCATTCCGCATACTCAATCTTATAGACACCCTTTTAATTCTTCATCATAGACGTAACTCGATTTCACAAAACGGTCAAGAGTAATTACACCTACTTCATTAAAATCCCGATTCACCAGTACAGCACTGACTTCAACAACGATTGCCTCAATCTTCCCAAAACCTTATGAAGAAAAAAAAAACCCAATTCTCTGTCTTTTTTTCCCGCTCCAAAGCATGAAGCTAGCCCCCCGATCCTTCAAAACCCCCAAAAACTTATTCTCTCCCCCTCATTTCTTAACCTATTCTCCTCTTTAACCCTAATTCTCCCCTCTTTCAAACCCTAGCCTCTGAATTTCTTCAATCTTCCGTCTTTGATCCAAAATTGGCTCTCGCCATCAGGGCTTTGATCTGAAATTGGCTCTTGTTGTTAGAGCTTTCTCCTCTGTTTTTACTTTTAAGAGATCCTTTTACCGAAAGGATGTTCTCGGAACGGCACAAAGAACGGAACAACCTGAAACGGAATCGGAGCTCCGTAATCGGGACCACATTGAGTCGCCCGACCAATTCAGGTCTTATATTGGGTAAGAATCTAGTAGTAAGACCTGGATGTTCCCGTAATTGGATCAAATTGGTCCTTCGCGTTAGATTGACTGAGGCTCGTAGTAAGAGCTGGATTTTCTCGTAATTAGACTACATTAGGTTGCCCGACCAATTCAGGTTTCATATTGGGTAAGAGGACCTGGATTGGATGTCTTGAAATTGGATCCAATTGGCTCTTCAAACCAAGCTCACCCGTCGTTGAATTGGTCCTTCTCCTTTCTGCTGACTCCTGTTATTAGAATCGAATGGAGCCTTTCAGTATGCCCCGGCTGACTGTAACGGGGTGACTGAACCTGGCCACTCAGTATTTGCACTGGAATTGGTCATTGCTCCCAATATTCGAGGTAACTGAATATTAATAAAAGTCCCTTTTCTTTATATTTTCACGGTATACTCGTGTTACAATACGACAGCATGTTAATCAAGTTTTGGAGCAGTATTTAAGATGTATCATTTAGTACCAACAAGATGATTGAACAACTCTTTTATCATTGGCAAAGTTTGCTTACAATAACACGGTACATTCTTCTATAAAACAAATACCTTTCTTTGATAATTATGGTTACCATCCACAACTTGATACTTTTGACTTTTTAAAAGTTGATAATCCTACTGGGAAAGATTTGGCAATTCATTTATCAGAGCTACATGCAACGATGAAGGCGCAGTTAAAAGAAGCTCAAGAACAACAAAAGGACAATGCGGATGTCTATCGAAAGGAACAACCACCATTTCACATGGGTGATAAGGTATGGTTACTTCGTCACAATATCAAGACCACTTGCCCTTGTGACAAATTGGACTATTGAAGGCTTGGACCATTTTCTATTTCTGCACAAATCAATCCAGTTGCATATCATTTACATCTATCGAAGTAAATGAAAATCCATCTAGTATTCCACATGTCTCTTTTTGAACCATGTAAGATAGTGGACATACCAAGAAGAAGACAAGCTCCACCTCCTCCTATAGAAGTGGACAATAATGAAGAGTTTGAAGTAGAAGAAGTCTTAGATTCAAGGCGGCGCCAAAATAAATTGGAATATCTTGTACATTGGTGCGGATATGATATTAGTGAATGTACATGGGAGCCAGTAAAGAATCTTGTAAATGCAACAAAGGTAGTAGAGGCTTTTTATCGACGACATCCATCAAAATCAAGATGAAAAACTTTTTTATAAAAGAAACAAGATCTAGGTAAGTTATCATTCTACTTTCAATCCTTGTTTGTAGCTTCTTTGTAGTTGTGATACTCAAGAGATGGAGAACCAACAACCAACGGATTTGACTCAAGAGCCTTCATTTGCTGACCTATCGGATGAGACATTATAATTGTGACAACCTTTAAGACGACGCAATTGAGATGATCTTCAAGAACGACATGTTTTTCTTCAAATAGATGGCAAAATACAACGCGTTTGGTATTACGACCTTGGAAGGGACTCCTGATGTTTGGTGATTTTACTAGACGTAGGAACAACTCCTGATGGTGTTCCAAATGTTTTATTCGAAGGAAGTTATGAAGGCCTCAATAATGATCAAATAATTGGGTGGTCTTCTCGCCCTAGTATGGGATACTACTGATAGTTGAAAGGCCCTATCAATCATCTTCAAAGAGAACAAAGATCAGAGTATGTGGCAAATATAATTCGTCACACCATAGATTTCCTCAATATATGATGATCGCTCCTCATGGAACTCATCCCTAAAAGGGGAGGTAATGTCACAGTCATACTCATGTAAGCCAGTAATTATATATATAAATAAGTAGAAGTAAGTAAAAGTAAATAAAAGTAAGTTAATTCTATAATATTTGGTATGAAAACTTCTTAGAAGCTTCATAAATGCCGCTTTGACTTTATAGATATCTTTAATTGACTTTTTGGGATTAGAAATGTGATCAACAAGTTGGCCATGTGCCACACATGTTGTTAGCTTGAAGACCAAGCTAACTATGTGGCCCACACTTAGAAAAACTTGCCTTGTAAGTCAAGGCATGTGTCCTACAAAGTCAACACATATTGGAGGTACTATAGAACGTTGCCACGTAGCCCCTAGTTAGATAGTATATATAGAGACAATAGTGAAGCCTTCTTTAGTCTTGTCAACTTCTTTCTTGCTTCCAGTCTAGTTTCAAGGGTCTCTAGTTTTCTTATCTTTTGGCAATAGCCATTCCAGTTTCTTTTTTAATATACATATCAAATTATTTCTATTTTGTCATCTTTCTTTGAAAGAAGTGTCACTTGTTTATTTATCTTTATTATGTTCTTGTCTTTGACAGCTTCTTCTAGTGGTAAAAGTTGTCACTTTTAAATTTCTCAATAAATTTCAAGCCTTCATCTTTACTTAAAACTACATCTAAAGAAGAAATGTATCAAAAAAAATCAAGAAAAGATGAGATAGAGCTCTCAAAATCAAGATAAAGATGTTGCCATCGAAATTAAAATGTCCTCTTTATAAATAAACTAGTGCTTTCACTTTTTAATCACTCTTAACTTTATTTATAAGACTTCTTATAAGTCTTATATTCTATTTAAACCTTTTTTGTAAGCTTTTCCACTCTTTAATCATTTCTAATCTTATATAATATTTCTTATCACAATCAGAGGATCTTTTAAGAACTTAAGCAAATAAAAGCACAATGTTAGTGCACCAATGATATAATTGAGTAAAAGAATATAATACAAGTATTTTTAAAACATCATTCTAAGATGTCTAATAACCCTTTAAGACCATGAATGTATTTTCCAATAAATAAAAGAAAAACTACATCATCAACTAGATGCAAAAGTTGGATTAGAAGTTAACAAATTCTAATAGCATGAACAACTATAAGATCTACTCTTTATAATAAAAAAAACTTCAAAGAACTTCAAAACTCAAAATTAAAGGTGAGTGGATCCAAAACCTATTGAAAAAAAAGAACTTTGAAGTTATAACACATAGCATCAATAAGGTTACAAACAAAGAGAGTATGCAGTAAGATATCTATTACTTCTATTACTCGATACTAATAGGTAGTGGCTGCTACTCTGATACACAACTTCTATCATTTGATAAATATATCTATCCAATATTTTGCTAAGACTATCTATCATTATCTTATCTACTATGCACATATGCCTTTAATATATCTTCTAAATCCTTAAGATCCTTTGCTAGTCCAACACTTGTGATAATATGTAACATGAATGTAGATATGTGATTGTTATAGAAACTACTTTTGCTTATATATCTTTGTTGAAAATTTTGATTTAAAAATTAATTATACTTGCAAATAATTAATACTATATTGGAGTTATTTTTAGGATTTAAAATGATATTGTGAAGGATGTATATTAAACTTAAATATGATTTAAAATATGATATTTTAAATTATTTTAAATTATTTTAATAAAAAATAGATAATTTGGTGCTCTTTTTATTAAAAAAAAATAAATTATTGATGGCTTAAATAAAGAATAAATAGTTTGGTACACAATGTGGATCAATATTTGTAACAAATATCATTTAGAAAATTTCTATATAATATTAAATTGTGAAGAAATTTTTAATGGACGATTTTCCATGAACTTGTTGTTTGTAGAAAAGGTAATATAATTGGCAAAAATGTTACTTAAATAAATAGAAGCTAATAAAAATAGGATAAAATTTAATAAAAAAATAACAAATAATAAAGCTTCTCCAACCATACATTAGAACTATAGATATCTTGGGATGTGCCATGCCGGTAAATGATTGTTTTTTCAGTTCCTCTTTTTTCATGTCACTTAACAAATAGATCCATATTCCTCTGTACAAATATGCTTTCCCAGATTAAAACTGCAAGAACAAACACTTCACCTTGACGCTCCTTTGTTACAGAATTATGAATTACAAGCACAACGCACGTTCCATATCTTTATCAAGAGCCTTGGTTCCATGAGGAAAAAATGAAGTCATGACATAGCGATGTACAAAAACTGGCTCAATAAGCTAAAATAACTGATAATCCTGTTCTGCAGAAATCATCATTCACTAGCTAACGAAAGTGAGATCCCGACAGAATTATCATCTCCAACTCCATCATAACAATCATCCACGTGGATGAAACATCACCATCCCCAACGCGAACGCGCTCCGTCGACGGACGAGAGCGTTGGCCAGCCGACGTGGCATACCAAGTCAACGAAATCGTAGACGTTGAAGGCGACACGTGTGAACGACGGTGTAGGGAATCCGTGGTCGAGATTCCCGATGGATCACAGCGCACGGCTGACAGGTGGTAGCGCCAGGTGTCGCTCTGACTGCGATTCTGGTGTGGATACATAAACCAACTAGTTTCGAGGCACTGATCATCTGCGAAGTCAGTCTTCCATCATCGTCTCATCCAATCGTGGTTTTACAGACGCTGCAGCTGTTGCGCATTCTTCCACCATTCCCAAGTGGCCCTAAGTTTTTGGAATTGGAGGTAGCGAACGCAGAGGAGGAAGCGAGCAGGAGCAGGAGCAGGAGTGATTAGGTTTCCGAGAGAGAGACAGAGAGAGATGGCGATTCCGTTGTGTGTGCAGTGTGGAACGCACCAGAACCCGTGTCGGTGCAAGATCGTTGGCCCGACGCTGGGAGTGGTGGCGTTCCTGATCACCGCCGTGGTGGAGTGGCCGCTGGGCGCTGCATTGTATTGCTTCAGGAAACAGAAGGCGCGGCGTCTACTGCACCACCCCAACCGCGTCGTGTACCCTCGAGTCTCGGGCGCCATCCCGTTCTAAGCTCCGAGCTAGCGAGAGCGATTGGGTCTCATCCCGCAACGACCCAGAAGTAATGCGGGTCTTGTCGAGGCTCACGAGCGACGGTCTTGGCGTCTCCATGTTCCGTCACGCCGAGATTTATCACTGCGGCAGATTTTTGAACCACCGACTACAATGTCATGCGGCAACGCAAAATGTACATACTGTTATTATTTAGAGAGAAATAAAATTGCATTGTAATCTTCATTCCGTGACTTCGACCGTGTCATTGGAGTCGTCTCACCTCTGTGCTGGACCGATTCGAGTACTCCAGGCTTGTTCCCTGGTCGCATTCCAACGAGGGGGATGCCTCCAAGGAGACGTTGGCATCTGCATCCATGTTGCTTCGGATGGTTAGAGCCGCAGCGGAGTTTCGATGGGCTGCACACGAATAGCTCATATCACCGGTCAGAACGCGTCCTCGTGCTTGGCGTTTTGGGACAAGGAATCTGCATTCTTCAGTTCCTATTTACTTATTGTCCACCCGAGACAGTCCACCACATTCTTGCATCTTCACACATTTTGCAATCTCGCCTCCGCTTAAACCGGAACGTTGCCTGAATGCGCATCTGGGACCAGCAGTAGTGTCCGATGATATGCTATGACTGTTGGAACATTCATCCCTACTTCATCATTGAATGAAATTTTTATGGATGATCTGAGATCGGACATGTGTGCCGAGTACTCAGATCTCTGTACACATGTACTGAAGACTGCATCAGCAGTGTCGTAGTAAGGCAGACTTACATCTCTTTTGGATTCCTGTTCATTTTAATTTTTTTTCCACACTTTCCAACTTTTGTTCTCATTGGCGACGGCTTTCTTGACTGGGAAGCACATTTACCCTGAGGGGGATTCAAGTGGTCTCCCGACTTCATATTCAAGGACGCCAGGAGACAAGCGAAAGTTGGTGCTCCATTCCGGGCAACATCAGACACAAGCACCAGTCCTCCTTCCAAGGGAACACTGTTTTCTTGAACATTGATTTCTGTTTCCTTTTCTTCGAGATCTCACAGTCTCTTACTGTCTTTCTAGCATCTCCTGCGAGTTTTATTTTTTATTTTATTTTTTATTTTTTTTTATTTTTTCAGTCCCGCATTTCCTGGATAATCAATCATTACTTAAATCTTGTCGTATGATCAACAGCATTGTTTTTCTTTCTTAGCCCTCATGAGCAACCTCGAAACCATATGCTCAAGAGAGATCATGCTAACAGGTTTGAAAAATTACAAATATTGGGCTGTCACTCTCCAAAGTATGTTCGAGAAAGAAGATCTTTGGGATCTTATCCAACCACAGCCATCACCAATCGGGACATCTTCCACGGAACCAGAATCCAAGACATCGTCAAATCCAAATCAATCAGAACCTGATATCACTTGAAGATGGAAACGCAGTGCTAAAGCCATGATCCAGTTATCTTTAATTCCAGATCCCTGCCAGAACATCATCGACATACCAAATCCACGTGATGCTTGGCGAGGTTTGAGCACCATGTTCAATACGAACACCATATCTGATATCATGATTGTGTAAAACCACTGGGAAAATACTCGAATAAGAGATCATCAAAACGTCGCAACACTCATGCAGCAGGTAAACGATATAATTTGCGAACTCAAAGCCATCAAACAAGCACCATCTAACGAAGTTTTAGTGCATCGAATTCTCAATTTGTTACTACTAAAATTTGATAAACTAGTGTTACAAATCCAGTCAGAGAAAGAAATCCCTAGCTTACAAGAACTCTGGAACAGGCTCCATATGGAAGAAACCAATGCTCTCTTATGGCGATCACATGACACCTAGGAAGAAGCATTGGTGATGCGTATACGAAACTTGTATAACAGAAAGACCCATTGTAACATGTTGCCTTCAGTGGCCCACAATGGACTCAACATCCACAGCTGCAGCTGCATCTTTTAGGAGGACAAACCCTTACTTGCCATCGTTGTAGCAAGCTCGGGCATACCTCAAGACATTGCCGTGTTCTTGCCCAGATGCCCTCTTCCACAAATAAATACACAAATAATTCAAGGTCATATGTCTCTCCACACAACAATCCACAATTCTTTTTACAATTAGGTGTCAATGTCATAGAAGACCTTTCCAGCGAATAAATTTTGTCCGATCCACACTAACCTAGTGATAGTGAAATTCTACAAGCCTTTAAAGCTCTCTCTATCAACAAACCAAATTCCAATTGGATTCTACACTAAGTGTCTAGGCATTTCTTAAGAGATTAATCCACTTCTCAGGATGTTGATCACATCCATAGATCCATAGTGACTTCCGGGAGTGGTCACTTCCATGTAATTGCAAGCAATTGCACAATTGATTTATCCCTACCTAACGGTGAAATAAAGACATTAAAAGATGTTTGCTACATATCCAGTCTATATCAAAATGTCTTATCAGTAGGTCAGATAATTGACCTTGACAATCTATGTATATTTTCTCCAACAAAATGTAATGTTATATCAATCTAAACACCATATCACATTGTGACAAAAGAATCACGAGATAAAAACAATGGCCTATACAAACTTGATTACTTCACCAACAAAACTTAGAGCTCACTCTCACATCAAGTAGGTATCAATACTCACTTTGAAATTAATACTCTTTCTACAAAAAACAAATCACTCTTATGGCATTAAAGGCTAACTCATCTAAGTTTTTACAATCTCCAAACATTCTAGAATCTAGTTATAGGTATTCCAAATTTTTCAATTTCTACTTTCAATTTTTGCACATGTCATGATGCAAAATAAACTAAAATTAATATATCAAAATAGTCACTTACTTGGGCACTTTTCTTACTTGCTCTCATCCATATGGATGTTTGTAGGCCTCTCTTTATAGAATCTTTTGGACAAAATCATTATTTCTTATTACTTACAAATGATTGTAGTTGCTTTTCTTGAATTTATTTTATGAAAACAAAAAATCAAACTATGAGCATGTTCTAGCAATTTCAAAACACAATCAAAAAATAAACCTCATATTGCCTCTTTTATGTGCAACTCAATTGTTGTAGAGAATTTAACTTTGTAGAATTTGATTGATATCTCTAAGCACACAAAATCCTATGACAATTGAGTATTATCCAAACATCCCAACAAAACGGGGTCTTTGAGAAAAAAATTGCTTTGTTCTCAATTGAGACAAATGTTATTTGCACCCTTGAACCACCATCAATTGGCCATCAGTATAGCAACATCAAAATCCATCTTGACACTCCAAATCCATATCAAGACCAACAATTTTTTCTACCCAACCTAAATTCCAATATTGAAGAACCACCTCAAACTAAAACTCAGGTTCTTTAAAAAAAAAAAAAAAAAATTTAGAAGATCATAATCTAAAAGGAATATCTCCTAGTAAAAATTCACTATTAGCAGTTAATTTTGCACTTTATTCATGTGATTTCAACATAGTACATGAATGGCCAATTTCTGAAGAAAACAATGATATATCCTCATATGCAAAAAATGATATCAACACTTCAAACATAACAATCTTATTCCTCTACATATTTTGAATCATTGAATCAAAATTGTCATACCACAAAATGTTCAGCTTGGCTATAAGATTATTTTTGCAATTTTTAAAATCTCTCTATTGAATTAAAATCATATGATGAAGCAATTCAAGATCAAGGATGGTGAAACTCAATAATTGATGAAATAAAATCTATTCATGATAACAAGACATTGTCAATCCTTATTCTTCCTTTATGATACCAAGCTATATCAATAAAGTGGGTGTCTGAAGCAAAAATAAAAATTGATGGTCCTCTATAAAAAGAAAAATCATGACTAGTTGTTCGTGGTTTTGAACAACAAATAGGTATTGACTACAAAGGAACATTTGTTCCAATAGTCAAATGGCGCACCATAAGAATGCTCCTTACAATATCTATACAAAATAAATGGCAACTTTACCACATGGACGTCAAGACTACTTTCTTCTACAGTGATTTCAAAAAAAAAGTCTACATCACAGAACCTCAACACTTTGTATTTGAAGGGCACGAACACCTAGTATGCAAACTACACAAAGCTTTTTATGGTCTAAAATTAGTACCAAAGGCATGGTATGATAAAATTAATTTCTTTCTTCAAACTCGAGGATTAATAAAAGGAGAAGGTGATTACAACCTTTATATTATTAACTATCAAGGAAAAATGCTACTTTTAGTTTTCTACATAGATGATCTTCTCTTCACAAAAAATTATATTAAATAGATCACGTGGTTTAAATTTCAACTTGAATCAAAATTTGAGATGTCAGAACTAGGACATTATTATCGATCTATAGTTAGTAAACATATATAATTAGCTCACTCTCAACTCAATATTTCATATTCTATTGGAATTTTTAGATATTTCATAATGAAATCACAAATACCACATTTGACAACAACAAAAAGAATTTTAAGGTATATTACATGAATATTAGATTATGAAATACTCTACTATATAAATTCATGAACAATGCTATTAGATTATATAAATAAAAATTGGATAGGAGACATACCTGATGGTCAATCAACAATAGGTTTTTTTTTAAAATTAAGGGCTAGTTCAATTACCTAGCTTTCATAGAAATAAGCCACCATTGCCTTTTCATCTTCAAAAGCAAAATATATGGACTTGTCCACAACATCTAGAGAAGCAACATGGTTGAACAAACTTGCATGTAATTTTATACTTCAAATCAAAAAACCAATTCTAATATATTGTGACAATAAAGGAAGTATCAAAATAGAAACAAATTCAAATATCAATCCAAGAACAAAGCATATAGCTATACATTATCATTTCACAAGAGAAAAAATAAAAATGGAAGAGGTTAAATTAATTTATATACCATCTCTTAATCAAATAGTTGACATCTTCACCAAATCCTTAGAGTATGTTATATTTGAGAAATTTAGATCGAGATTGAATATCATTTCTATAGAAAAAGCACAATGTTAAAAAAAACTACTTCCTTTTTTCATCTTCTCTCTCTACAGCTTGTAATTATAGGTATAAATTAGCACATCCAACTTAGTAAAAAAAAAATAGATCATCACTTTCACATCTCTCTCATCTATTGCCTTTGTATAACAAACCTTTAAGATGAACCTTGAACACCTAAAATAAATTCCTTCACAAACTAAAGTCAAAGAATACAAGTAGTTTCTTAGTAAGTATCAAATTGATGA